CCCCTCACTGACCTCCCCACTCCCCTCTTTGGGGTCCTGACCCCCCTTCTCTGGTGTTCCCACTCCCCTCCTTGACCTCCCACTCCCCTCTTTGGGATCCCACTCCTCTCTCTGACCTCCCCACTCCCCTCTCTGATGTTCCCACTCCCCTCTTTGGGGTCCTGACCCCCTCTTTGACCTCCCCACTCCCCTCTTTGGGGTCCCCCCTCCCGTCTTTGATGTTCCCACTCCCCTCTTTGGGGTCTTGACCCCCTCTTTGACCTCCCACTCCCCTCTTTGGGATCCCACTCCCCTCTCTGGGGTCCCAACCCGCTCTTTGACCTCCCACTCCCCTCTTTGACCTCCCCACTCCCCTCTCTGATGTTCCCACTCCCCTCTCTGACCTCCCACTCCCCTCATTGACCTCCCACTCCCCTCTTTGACCTCCCACTCCCCTCTTTGGGGTCCTGACCCCCCTTCTCTGGTGTTCCCACTCCCCTCCTTGACCTCCCACTCCCATCTTTGGGATCCCACTCCCCTCTCTGACCTCCCACTCCCCTCTTTGGGGTCCCAACCCCCTCTTTGACCTCCCCACTCCCCTCATTGACCCCCCCCTCCCCTCCCTGCTGTCCCACTCCCCTCTTTGGGATCCCACTCCCCTCCTTGACCTCCCCACTCCCCTCTTTGGGGTCCCACTCCCCTCTTTGACCTCCCCCCTCCCCTCATTGACGTTCCCACTCCCCTCTTTGGGATCCCACTCCCCTCTCTGACATCCCACTCCCCTCTTTGACCTCCCACTCCCCTCTTTGGGGTCCCAACCCCTTCTTTGACCTCCCCACTCCTCTCTTTGGGATCCCACTCCCCTCTTTGGGGTCCTGACCCCACTCTCTGACATTCCCACTCCCCTCTTTGACCTCCCCACTCCCCTCTTTGGGGTCTCACTTCCCTCTTTGGGGTCCTGACCCCCTCTCTGACGTTCCCACTCCCCTCTTTGGGGTCCTGACCCCCTCTCTGACGTTCCCACTCCCCTCTTTGACCTCCCAACTCCCCTCTTTGGGGTCCCACTCCCCTCTCTGACATCCCACTCCCCTCTTTGACCTCCCCACTCCCCTCTTTGGGGTCCCGACCCCCTTTTTGACCTCCCACTCCCCTCTTTGGGGTCTTGACCCCCTCTCTGACCTCCCCACTCCCCTCTCTGACCTCCCCACTCCCCTCTTTCACGTTCCCACCCCCCTCTTTGACCTCCCCACTCCCCTCTTTGGGGTCCCAACCCCCTCTTTGACCTCCCCACTCCCCTTACTGACCTCCCACTCCCCTCTTTGGCGTCTTGACCCCCTCTCTGACATCCCACTCCCCTCTTTGACCTCCCCACTCCCCTCTTTGACCTCCCCACTCCCCTCTTTGACGTCCCAGTCCCCTCTTTGGGGTCCCAACCCCCTTTTTGATGTCCCCACTCCCCTCTTTGGGGTCCCAACCCGCTCTTTGACCTCCCACTCCCCTCTTTGGGATCCCACTCCCCTCTCTGACGTTCCCACTCCCCTCTTTGAGGTCCCAACCCCCTCTCTGACCTCCCCACTCCCCTCTTTGGGGTCCTGACCCCCCTTCTCTGGTGTTCCCACTCCCCTCTTTGACCTCCCACTCCCCTCTTTGGGTTCCCAACCCCTTCTTTGACCTCCCCCCTCCCCTCTTTGGGGTCCCCCTCCCCTCCCTGCCTCCCCTCCCCTCCCCGCCCAACCTGCAGCAGCAGCAGGACGATGCCCTCGGGGCAGGAGTCGGTGATGACGCGGTGCCCGTAGCCGATGGTGGTCTCGGTCTCGATGGAGAACAGGAAGGCGGCCACGAAGCCGTTGAGGTTGTTGACGCAGGGGGTCCACGCGCGGTCCCCCAGGTGCTCCAGGTCCCCCCGGCTGTAGGCGATGACCCACCAGACGAGGCCGAAGAAGAGCCAGGTCAGGGCGTAGGCCAGGATGAAGATGAGGAGGCTGAAGCGCCACTGGAGGTCCACCAGGGTGGTGAAGAGGTCGGTGAGGTACCGGTAGGTCTCGCGCACGTTCCCGTGCTGGACGTTGCACCGCCCGTCCTTCTCCACGTAGCGCTGGCGGGGTCGGGCCCCCCGGACCCCCCCGGGGACCCCCACACCCGGGCGGCGCTTGGGGGGCGCGGGGGGGGCGGGAGGGGCGGGAGGGGC